TTCTCATTTGCTTTTTCTCTATTTATTTGCTACATGCAAGGACTAGTCTGAAATATCATTGTCATGATGAGCATAAATGAAGATCAATGCTAGCACATCTACTGTCAGACAGTTAGGCACACAAAGGGTAATCATACTCCTGCATCTTCACAAAGCAAGCAAATGTGTTCAATAAAACCATGCAAATATGGAGCAATGTGACTCTAAAGTGTATTAGAAATGTAAATGATACAGAACTTCATTCTTGAAGTCTGCAGTAGAAAGGAATAGAGTAACAGAGCTGAAAGTGGGGTCGATCTCAGCTGGTACGTGACAGAGCTTGGATCTCCTGCACATGGCATGTCAGACTCATTTTCCATTGTGGACCACATACAGCCCACTTTGATGTCCATTTTCCTACATGATAAAGAAATGGCGCTATAGTCAGGGGTGCACATAAGTGGTCCGCAGGTGCGCATTCGCTGTCAAAATAAGACGCGCACCGGATAAGAAGTTGCAATGCGTGTTTGCGTACGTTAGATTTTCTGGAGGAGGACAGACATTTGTTTAGAACTCTTAAAAATGTCAAAGAAGCTCCTTTAAGCAATTACTTTGGTGTTTCTCCACCTCCAAAGAAATGTCAGGAGTCCGAACCGCAAAAGAAACGCGTATTCTCGGAAAAGTGGTTGCAGGAGGTGAGCTGGCTTCAAACAAATAATGAACGCACAGAGATGTGGTGCAGAATATGCTGTGAAAATCCCACTCTAGCTGACAAAAACACTGCCTTTTATATGTACGCAAACACACGTTGCAACTTCTTATCTGGTGCGCGTCTTTTATTTTGACAGCGAATGCGCACATGCGGACCACTTATGTGCACCCCGGCTATAGTAAATTAAAGAGATCTGTCACCGTGACTCTTTGGGACTTAAATTACAGAAATCTGTCATTTTATTACTTTCAGGTAAAACTTGTGAAAATACAATTAAGTCCAAAACTTATGAGGCCATAAGTTTTGGACTTCCGATGGACGGTCAGTGCCTTGAAAAAAGTAACTACTTCATAGTAATTCCTCTGCTTTTGCTCTGAAATGTACACCAGCATCAGTCGGCAGCATGCATGTGCGTCACACTAAAGTAATATTTCACGGCACGTTTGTGTTTCAGGACTCAGTTGTGCATGAAATCTGCAATAATCCCAGTGACTGTGTTTGCCTTGTGTGACAGTTTGTGTCGCTGCCTCTGAGCCTTTTTCCCAGTGTGAGAACTGCTCCACTGTACTAAGTGTGTCAACAATACCAGCTGAGAGGCAGCCTTCAGTCCACACACAGCAACTGCAGACTAATCCTTAAAAGAGAGAAACTGGATGAAAGCACGGAGGGAGGGAAGCACAGAGGAAGAAATATAGAGCAAGCATATGGGAAAGTGGAAGGATGGAGATGATAAGAGCAAGAGACGGAGCGATGGTGGAGTTGAGCTTGACGGTGAAAGAGGGAGAGAGGAGAGGTGGAAGTGTGAATGCTAGAGAGAGAGAGGGAGACGGAACGATTTTAATGTTTCAAAGGATTTCCCTATCACAGTCTCTGACACATTACATACACAGCTCACTATCAGCCCAACCCTGACAGCTGCACAAATTGGCTGAAAGAGGTTCCCTGGGCAAGGCCTTTGATCAGGTTTGTGTGTGTGTTGTGTCAGCAACACGAGGGGAAGGGGAGAGGTTTTGTACATTTGTGCATACCTGGACATCTGCGTACTGAAGAAAGACTCTTTCTGCTCCAGATCAGTGTAATGAAATGAATGTACAAAGATAAGGCTAACTGTGTGCATGTTTGTTAATAGTCTAACAGTCTGGTTTTGCTTCATGAGCTTATATTGTGTTTACCATGCAGTGGTGTGCAGTGTGTTATCTTAAGCGTGTATAGCTTTTACCCCTGTGATATTTCTCCATAAGATTTCAGCCCGGTGTCTTTTATGTGTCTGACACTCCCCATCAACCATGTGTCTGTGTTATCTTTCCGAGGAGGTTGGTAAACAAACCCATTGTTGAAAGGCTCATATCGAGCCGGTCCGCGGCACAGTTCAGGCTTTGAGGCGGTGAGGTTTCCAATATCGTGATTGCAGACACCACATGGGGAAAAAAGATATGCGCTTCTTTTCTTTCCTCTAACAGTGACACATTATACAATAAACTTTTATAAAATGTCCTGAGAAAGCACACTTATGACAGACTTCACGTGAATTGTTGATTCTAATGATTGGTTGTTTAGTTTTGTTTGTCAAAAATGGTGTAAAATGACCATAATTTTAAAAAGTTTGAAATTGTGAAACCATTTGTCTATGACTCAGAAATATAAAGGCAATTATGTCCTGTCAACTAGATTGACTAATTAAGGAATTGATTATATTTAGCACATTTTAGTATATTATATAGTTCTGTTTTGTGTCTGAAGTGGCTGATACAAAGTTGTTGAGCCAGTATCAATCTTCTTCTCGGTGAATACTGCTTTAGGAGTAGAGGCTGGAGATATCACGATATTTAAAGAAAATTTGCACTAACGATGCCTCTGATGATGCAGAAAAAATGATAAACGATGTTTTATGTTTGGAGCATGAGAGCAGCCGTAAGTAAATGAAGAGCATTTTCCATCCTCTTCCTGCGAGTTATTGTCATTGATGACACACTACCTAATTCAAAGTGTGACACTATTGAAATGAGGACCGGTAGCAGCAGCATTCTAATTCAACAGGGGCGACATAGCATGAGCCAAATATTAGAGCAAAAGTAGCCCAGCTGCTTTAGTTGAACAATAAACTCTTCAGGACCCTGGTCAATATGGTCACATAGTAAAACTGAAAAATACTTTATACCTGGGAAGCTGTTTAACCAGCTCTGTAAAGTTCTGCTTTTCCAACATTTAACCGTGTCAGTAATTTGCATTCACTGTTTGCCCATCCTGTCATACGGAGTTCAGCTTGCAATGCTTGGTTGGGTCTTTTTTTTTTTTTTTCTAACCTTTGCGTCGCAAATCAGTATCTGCTCCATTGTAGCCTTGTTGTACTCGATGTGTTTTTCCCTCAAATGGTGAAACTCGTTGTTTCCACATTACCGGGAACAATTTCCTTGCATATTTTGCAAAGTAGCGTGCTGCTTTGGAGGTGATTTAAAATCGCTTCTGTTTTAGTAGCCAAAAATGATTCTTTCTCTCTGACATGCCTGGAATTGTTTCATTCATTGCACTGGTAAATGTAAATGTGTGGCATTGCTACAGAAACGATATGACATCTTTTTGACATTATCATGTAAAAATTTGTCGGTGGTATTGTGAAAAATGTATGGCGCAGCCCTAAATTGAAGTTATTCAGGAAATAACATCAAACTGCAAATCTCAGAGACACTGGTAATACAGAGTATTATTTGTCCCAGCTGTTAAACTGAAGTATTACCCAGCATAGCCTCTCTTTCACCTCTGCACTTTGTTTGTGTTTGAGCTGAAGTGTACAGGCTCGTTGTTGGCTGCTGGTGTGAGGTGCTGGCCTGTAAATGACATAAGCGCCTTCTCCTTTTACTCCTGCGTGTCTTCCATACATGTGTTGAATCCTGTTAGCGCTGTCTGTCTGAGCTGCTAGCATGCGTCTGAGTGTGTGTTAGGATTTGTGCACCAGCTGAGAGAAAATACAGGTAATGGATTAATATCAGAGCTGGCTCAGGCTCCACATTGCTCTGTTGTGACAGCCTGTCATTATCACAAACACCGGCTCACACTCGTGCACGCACACACAAGCTCACACAAGCTTCCTTGCAATTGTGCATACATATCCACACACGACTCCAAATACAGGATTCACCTTAAGTATGTACACGCTTCCTTTCCTTACCTGTCTCTATCCTTTCTCTTCCTGTCTCTCATTTTCTCGTCATTACGGCACACAGTGCTGCTGCGCTGTGATCATCTCAAGCTGCAGCAGCTTCTTGAACTTGTTCTATCCACTTTCCAACAGTGGAACCAACACTGGGACTACACATCTTTGCGGTGTAGCTGTTTTCCTCCAAGGCAGCAGACGGAGTGTTTTGAATGCTGCTGTCATATGGGCCATCAAGCTTGTTTGCTTCCTCCAAACTTAACCTAATAGTTTGCCTAAGGCAGCGGGCAGGCAGGGGTGGGTGTGCCTTCAGTGCCAGGCACTCATTAATCCTTGCACTGCTCTTCTCCCTGCCAGAAATGGTCATCTTATTAAGCCATTTAGCCAGTATTGAGCTGTGTAATTGGACAGTGGAGGCCAATAGGAAATGTTTGAGTAAGTTAAAGGTGATAAAAGGACCTTGCTTGATTTAAATGCTGTACAGCCTGCTCGGTTCACCCATGGCATAAGTTTATTAATACAAATTATAGCGGTGTTTGCTTTAAGACTTTCTTGCCTGACAGTGGCTTGATACCTTTGCATTACAAGAGATGTTTTGAATATCTTTCATTTTTCTGGTCTACGTTTGCTTGCATTGTAACTAAGGTTAAACAACCAGAAAGCAATTTGTGCTGCTTTTAATGTTTGCTGATTTGTGCACACACACAAACAAACCTGTTTTTCATGAAAATTATCAATGGTTTGAAACATTTCCTTATCTAAATCACTGTAGAAGTCACTGCACCTTTACACTCCAGTCAGCGCTGAAAGGAAGTCCCTACTGCCTTGTCATTATGTGCAGAACCTTATGCGAAGATTCAGCACAGCATGCTATTGTTATTCGGGCAAGCCCCAGTGGTTGGGTACCATGAACATCACGGACTAATTTCAGATCTCTTGCTTTCCTAATTTTATGTACTTCCTCTAGAATAAAGAGATAATTGGGACAGGAAAAGATGTGGATGTGAGATTGGTAGATGGAATTTAGCTGAGGAGCGGAATCTGCAGTGAAGTACTTTTTTTTTGTTGTGTTATCAAATACGTGATTCATGTGACACCAAACATAACAGTAAAGACCTAATGTGACGTTTGCCTTTGTGTGTTTTTCTGTCTTTGCAGCAGTCCTATGCCCCTCCCCCTCCACCCATGGCTCCACCCAGCCCTGGCAACACAGGAGGAGGAGGTGGTGGTGGAGGTCAGGGAGGAGGGCTAGTGGAGCAACTTAGTAAGACCAACCTGTACATCAGAGGCCTGCCGCCTGCCACCACCGACCAGGACCTCATCAAACTCTGCCAGCCGTGAGTTCTATTTTCTTCTACTGTCCCTGCCTTCGCTCTGCAGATGCATTAAACGTCCTCAATACAGCTGAGTTCAGTTCATTCCTGCTCAGTTCAGTTTAGTTCAGCTTGTGGTAATTAGTGTTGCGTGAGTGTGACAGGAGCTTATAATGGGTATCAACAATTTGCTCTTGACCCCTGTGTTCCTCCTCTCTGCTTCCTCAGAGGAAAAGACACAACCCAGCTGGGCCTAGCCCATCCGCTCCTTTCTGCCCTGCGTCATCTACACAACAAAGGATAGATAATCCTCCTGTCCATCGGTGGAGGCTTGAAACTCCTCAGTCACATGAAGATTTACTTCTCACATGGATGACAATATGATGGATCAGTCCACATTCCATGTTAATAGTAATATAAATGAGCTGTGGGAAATTAAATTGCATCAAATTACCAGTTCAATCTAAAATTTGATGACTTGATGCAGCAGCTATATTTGATAAACATCTGAATATTTTAGTAATGGCTGTATCTAGAGTGATTTAGAAGATTTCCATTGGAACTGATGAAGGCATATTTTCATTTTTAGCAGCTTTGTTACGTCTGAGCAAACTCTGATCCAGTGTTTATTTTAACCCATTAGGCAGCTGTTTCCTGATCAGATTTTAGATCAGGGTTCTCATCATAGTGCCTAATCAGATTTAGACTAGGTTCAGAAATATACAGAGTTACTGTTTTGAAAAAACGATGAGACTTTTCAACATGATTTTGTTTTTCTAAGCTTCTTTTCCTCTTTTTAAGGGATCCTGTCACATTTGTTAAAAGCTAATTATTATAGACATTTAAAAAATATCAATTTATCTGTAATTGGAATAATAATACTACACAACAGCGGCTGTGATAATACTGTAGTGTACTTTTCCTGATTAATCACTGAATGTAGTAACTTAAGCTGCAAGAGCAGAAACACTTGACAGGTAATAGGGCCGTACTCTGTTAATTTCAGTATCTAGCTTTGTCCTTTTCTATTGTTTCTTTGTGTTAAAAGTTGGTCCTGCGCATTTAATCCCTACATATCCCAAATGTGGCTCAGGTGGTAGAGTGGGTTATCTACAAATAGGGACGTCGGTGGTTCGCTCCCTGGCTCGAGGTTATCCTTGGGCGAGGTACTGAACCCCAAGTTGCCTCTGATGGATCTGTCAGTGAGGATGTGTGCGTGAATGTTAGACAAGGTGCTTTGGTATAGGGGGGGAAAATGCGCTTATATGAATGTGTGTGAGATTTGGTGGTTGGTTACAGTAAAAAGCTCTATATTAGTACTGCTGCCATTTTCCATTTAAATTTTGTAAACAATTTAAACCTGCTTTTCTTATTTGCCTTCTAGCTTATGTTGGTCGATAATATCAAATGTAATTAGTGAGTTGTATGTTAATAATTATAGTGATTGCTTGTCTTGAAGCTATGGGCTTTAAATATTTTCAAAAGCAATTTGATTGTATAGATTTTGTGAAACAGAGAAGACGGATAAAAAATAAAATGCAAAGACACGTTCACATATGCACACACTGTATCTTTCCTTTCTGTGTGTCAGCTGCAGTTCAAGCCTGTTGTATTTCAGCTCAGCCCTGGAGGCAGTTCTGGAAAAACGGGGTGAAAAATGGGGGCCAATAAAAGTTTCATTAGAGGCCCAGTCAGTGTGCCAAGTGGCCAGTAACATTTAGGAAAGGTCATGGAGGAGGGGAGGGGTGCGTGTGCTGTTGGGCAGCATCATAGTGTTGGGTTTCTAACTTGCTCCAGCTTTTGGAAATAGAGTGGCAGCTTCCTGTCAGTCACTTACATGATATGCGCGCATGCACACACAAACAGGCTTTTCTTTCATGCACAGTTGCAGTGAGTAACAGGAGGACAGTACTTACACTGATGCACATATACAGACATGCACACTCTTTCAATTCAGTGTCATCCATAATTGGTCGCCAACCATGGCTTTTTTTTTTGTTTGTTTGTACCAAACCTCCCATCAGCATCACACACACCCTTACCATTCTTTCATCCTCCTCATTTCCTCCTTCCATCCTTTCCTCTCTGTCCGCCCTTCCCTCTCTCCCTCACCCCTGTTTCCCCCTTCTTTCTCTCTCTGTCTCCGTGCCAGTTCTCAGAGTGTCAGTGAAAAGTGCTGTTGTCAGCTGACATTTCCAATCACTCCCCCGGTCGCCAAAACTATGGACACACTTTTAACGTCTGGGGACAGAGCAGAACGTGAGCGGAATCTAAAGTGGAGCACAAGGGCAATTTCTCTCTCTCATTCACTTGCTTTCACTTCCCCCTGTTGTCTTTCTGTCTCTCTCTCACGCTTGATTCCCAGCTGTCTGTCTGCATATCGATCTATAACTTAATCTGTGGTTAAAACCTGCAGTGTAGCTCATGATGATCTTAAAAAAAAA